ATGTTCCGCGAGCACCAAATTATGGTCAAAACAGGGAGCTCGCTGCCTCCTCCCCTCAAATATATCGTATCCGTTCTAACTGCGCCTGCGCCCAGAAGAAGCCATCCTAAGCCTCAGAGAAGTTATTTGGTAGCTGGAAGTGTCAGATGTATCATCTGACCACCTTTCCTGCCAATGTGTGTAGTACCTTTGAATCACGAAAGAAATTTTCTTATTTAATTCTTCAAAGTGTTAGCTGTGCTAACTTAATTAGCACGAACGCTCTACCATTGCTTAATATTGACTGAAAACACTTTCACGTAGTCGTGACATTAAGCAACAAAACAGAAACAGACTGTGCTCCTAGTGTTTCACAGTTCCTAATAAATGTGATTTTAAAAACAAAGCGCAATTGGGGTAATCCGTTGATCAACGCGGTGCATACAAGAACACGTGTATATGACGGCCAGTACTGTCAGAGCCATTGACTCAGGAAGGATAAGACGGGCCTCTCATAGATATTGGTTGCGAAAAATACATGGGAGAACTAGGCACAGATGCGAGAATACTACTGTAATACATGTATCTATACTACAGAATCGTGGTGAGGACTGGAATAACCTGGCTAACGATAGAATTTAATTGACGACTTCCGTGAACACGGAAACGAACCATGAAGCTTCTTCCTCGCAAGGCCGGCAACCTCATTGCCATCTATGAACCGATTGCTAGAAAGTTGCGGGAGTCTCGTCGTCTCACAACCCTATGGGCCTCCACGGCCTATTGCAGAGTTAGCGACCTTTAAGGGGTTTCCTGAACAGTTGTTTACCGACCAGAGCGATACAAGACGTGTCAGCTTGTCAACATACCACATTAATGAATGAATTACTGCCAGAGTAAGAAGTTCGAGGTTTGCCCACCAGGGCAGGACAGACAGAGTCATCTGTGATGTGGTAGCGACACCTTCCTGCGAGAGATTCAACCTGTAATGTAAGCAATGCCAGTGATCTGCAGGAAGTAGAATGTCAGAGACGTGTTGTGCTTGCAGGTGTTCATCTCAGCAGGCAGGATGGGCATTTCGGACATACTACTACTGACAGCTTTGATTTCTACTTCTGCTTTAGCTCGTAAGTACACCTAATGATGTAACAGGCGCTGTGTATATGCAGTAGTATGTGCAGTTGATGAAGCTAGGCGTTAAAACTTCAGAAATAACATTCGGTAGCCTCAGGTTCCATAACATGCAAGTTGTTATTCGCATAAACGGACCGTAGCAGTGACCATTTGAAACCTCTCGAATTATGTCGTCTCACCAGTCACAGGTTGTTAATCTCCCGTTTCATTTATAATTATTGGCATGTAAGTAACGGCATCGTCTTCTCTTTCACCTTTTCACGAGTAAGGTAATCAGACTTCTTCCAATTTTCAATTCAAAACTATTCTGAGGTGGTTAATCCTTTAGGCTTTGTTAGGAATGTTGGAATTTTGCAAGGCCCGTCTCACAAAAATTGTGCACATGAGAGCGAGCCAAAACTGAGACCTGAGTGTTCCAAAAGTCCAAGACCGTATAAAGGTAAAGTTGTTCTTGTGCTTAACTAATTAAACACTACGTCATGAAGGCGTATCGGGGAGTGGATATGTAGATCCACATTTTCTTGACCTCAGCATTAGCTGGATGTGAGCGGCCAGATTCACGCCCCGGCCGCTTTACCCCCGGGAAATAGCCCTCGGTACGCATTGGATAGGAGGTCCAGTGGACTCCGGAGCCACCCTGGAAACTTGCTGAAGAGAAAATGCTTGACCTTACCGGAACTCGAGCTCCGACCCCTCGGTCGTCCAGTCCGTAGCTAGTCGCTATTCCGACTACGCTATCCCGGCTCCTGTCCAAGACCGTATGGCTTTCATAAAGGTAGAGTTGTCCTTCTGCTTAACTAATTAAGCACTACGTCATGAAGGTGTATGGCACTAGATGGAAGTGAATGGCCAGATACACGCCCCAGCCGCTTTATACCCGGGGATAAAGCACCCAGTACCCATTGGATAGGTGATTGGATGAACCCCAGAACCGGTCTGGACGAAGTGGAGAATTGAAAATTCTTGACCCTACCGGGACTAACTCCGACCCATCGGCCGTCCAGCCTGTAACCAGCCGCTATACCGACTACGCTAGCTGCTATAAATTATAATCATTGTCCTTTAATTTTAAGTAGGGCTAGAAATGTATTAACTACTTATCAGTAAATGATGAATCCATTAATGATTTAAACCGGCACTCTGATAGTTACGTATAAACATTTCGCATTGAGGAAGGTTGAAAGTAGATGGCCTATGTTCATTAATTACTCAGAATTTTAGAAAATTTTCTTCCTCCCTCCAGACAAATTGTACGACACTACCTTCAAATAGGGGGAGTCGAGATAGCGTAGTCGGGATAGCGACTGGCTACGGGCTGGACGACTGAGGGGTCGAAGTTCGATTCCCGGTAGGTTAAATAATTTTCTCTTATCCACGTGGTCCAGACCGATTCTGGGGCCCGCCCAGCTTCCTATTCAATGAGTATCAGGGGTTCTTTCCCCGGGAGTAAAGCGATCGGGGAGTGAAGCTGACAACTCACCTTCAGCTAATGTCGAGGTTAAGAAAATATGAATATATATATATATATATATATATATATATCTCGTATATGCCATCTCCAACATATGCCTTTATGGCGTAGTGCTTAATAGCACAGGGACAAATTTACCTTCACCTTCAAATAGGTCAGGACATCGTCCTCCAGATCATTAACCACTCTCCATTTATTACCACCCCCTCCGTGTATTCGATTTTAGGCCTACAATGTACAAAAGTAAAATTGTCCCTGTGCTTAATTAATTAAGAACTATGCCATGAAGACGTATGGGGGACTGCAGGTCTACGAGTATATCCATGTTTTCTTGACCTCGGCACTAGTCAGCTTCACGCCTCTGCCGCTTTACCTCCAAGGAAAGAGCCCTCAGTATAATACCCATTGCACAGGAGGCTGGGTGGAAACCAGAGCCGGTCTAGACTAGGTGGAGAAAATCTTGCTCCTACTGGAACTCAAACCCCGACCCTTCAGTCGTGCAGCCCGTAGCCAGTCTCTATACTGACTGCACTATCCCTGCTTCGTAAAATATATAGCTCCTGCAATTACATCACTATTATTAAATAACTTATGAATCAACCTTAAATTGAAAGCTCGAAGTAATTTATCTGGCGTAACAGTTAATGAAGAAGCCGGGATAGCTCAGTCGCAATAGCGATAGGACGGCCGCAGTCTGTTTCGGGGGGGGGGCAAGAATATTTTAGCTCACAGCGTCCAGAACGGCTCTTGGGCCCACCAAGCCTATCCAATGGGTACTGGGGGATTCCTTCCCTGGGAGTAAAGCAGCCAAGGCGTGAAGCTGACCACTCACTTCCAACTGGTGCCTAGGTCAAGAATGGTGGATCTATACCTCAGCTCCACCATGTGTCTTCATGACATGGTATTTAAATAATTATAAAATTTCAGTTTCTTTTCTAACAATTATTGAGTAGTATCTTCCGGGTTATAACGCCGTGTAGTTCGAAGACAGACCGACGTTTGGGAAAAACATATCTCCATCTTCAGGGTGGAGGAATAAGCAAAGAAGAAAGCAATATGCTCCACCAGAAAATGGCGCTCTTTCCAAAGTACACGGAATCACAAACAAAATGTCTCTAATCTCCATAGCCATCCCCTTTAAAACTTCAGATCTTAAAATTAAGGAACTGTTACTAGTGATGAAATCTTATGTAGCCAGGAATTACGAGTACAAACTTCACCCGAATGAATCGCCATTGCGACAGAATAAATCTGATATATTTTCATGCCAAACCCAAGATGGGTGTAACTACGCTCTAGACGAAAATTTCCCCACCTTAGGGTGGAAACAGTAACACCGAACACCTCAGATATGTCCTTTGGAAGGTCATGCAACGATTAGGCGTATTCACAAAAGATTCGCATACACTCAGGCTCAAATTATTTCATGGGCCATTGTGAACATTATATGGAATAACGCATAAATGTCAACATCAACGAGCCTACAAAGGGCTGGAGACTTTAACGCTGGAGTAAGTGACGAACTTCGCTTTATTCATCAGTCCAAAGAAACGGAATATCTCGACAAGCAGAAGATATTCATGCTGACTTCCTGAAACCAGCTAAGGCCAGTAGTCTTAAAGTATCTTTCCTTGTTTTATAATAAACAGCATGCATTTGTTAACAGCATTTTCAAGTATGTTTCTGTCCCCTCATAACTTTTCAACCATCGGCTTGTTTTTCATGAAAATTTATGTGAATGCCATTAAAGAGCGCCCCATTTTTACGTTTAAATTTCCTACCATCCGTGGTATGCGGCCTGTATTTGCAACTAGCAACGATAAGGTGATCTCGCCTCCTTTTATTTATTTTTTCAGAATAAGGAAATTAGGCTAAAATATAGTCAATGTACTATTGAAGGTGGAAAAGTGAAATTTGGTGTACAGTCAGGTCATGAACAAGCTTACAAATTCTGTATGAAAATGCTTTTTTGTGTAACCACTGAAAATGTGGCGAAATGGATGATGCAAAACTTTGAGATTACATCCGACTACGATAAAGTGTTTTGTATTAGCAGCGATAGAAATTATGGACAGAAGTCTTAAATCTTAGGCTATACGCCTATTTGCTAATAAAGAATTCGTGTAATCCCCTCTTTAAGAACAAATTATTCGAAGGCAAATTGGTGTCATTTAATATTCATATTTCACTAGAACTATAAACTTGTGACGTCAACTATTTATGCAGAAGAGTACTACAAATTCAGACAGGTAGAAACATAAAAGCCCGGACGTCATTCCTTAAATTTTCGTGAAGTTTGACACCTCCAGACATGGGTATTGAGCCCTGGCATCACGCTATTAGCTTTATTGGGCGCCTTTTAAACTGGGCGTCTCTGTAAGGAACGTTGAAGAAGTTCATAAATATGTAAGCTCCGGCACAGATATCACTATCTCTTTTTTATGCGTTCTTCTACGAAGCTGTCAGTATGCAGACTGTATGGCGTCAAATGGGAGGATATCAGATGAATCCCGAATTGAAAGGAAACGGCAGTGACCTGTACGACGTACAATTGTGACATTTGCGTGGAGGAACTGAGTAAGACTACGAAAACGCTGTCAGGATACCCAGTTTCCTGGCCGATTCTCGAACCGGGAACTTCGCAAATACGTGCTTAGAGCATTACTGCTACGCCAACAAATTCGGTCTCCTAACCTCAAACACCAAAGGCAGCTCGGATTATAGGACCTTTTCAAGGTCTCTAATCAACGACTAACAGCCAGTCGTTCGGGCAAAATCAGTCCTAGTAAACACCGGCTTCCTCAAATGTTTGCGCATGTCCATTTATAGACTTTTCAACATAGGCAGGAAAAAGGTTCTGTTGAGATCTTCAGGTATGGTTATTATATCGCACAGAATTCACCAGCTTCTCTCTATGGGACTACTGGTGATTTAACCCACTGCGGTTGACGTTTTCCGGTCAGGAAAATACATTGTGGTTGGAATTATGTGTGAAAAATGAATGCCTAAAGGTAGAAGTTACATTTCACAACAACCGTGACGCATCAGTATAGAGGTATTACTGGTAAAATGTAAGATACAGCCAAAAAAACTCTCATAATCGCCATCTCTGAAGAAACGCCGAAACTACGCGCTAACTGAGAAGATTGAATAGGCCCGCACGCCAGGTCCCAGTCCATCCAAGCATTATAGAATGATTCACTCCATGGAGGCCTTCATTTTATAAATATAAACTACAAGATGACTTAAGAACGAAAACGAAACTAGGCGAGTACATACCTTGGTAGACTTGAGGATAATTGGGATACCAGAGGTCCTGAAATTCTTATCGCTTCGCCTGAAGACGCAGGCCGAAATAATGTCCTATGTCCACACACGTTATTTCACCACGCAACTGGCAGATTCACAGCCTGAAGAAAACAGAACAAATCAGGCAAGTACGGTTTAATGTTGCAAAGCACACAGTTATCTCCCAAACACATGTCGAATTGTTAAATGTTGCAAAGCACATTGATACCTCCCGAATACATAGTACGTAGAAATGGCAAATGTTGTAAAGCACATGCGAGCAGTTTTCGATCAGATGGCAACACCAGTTCTGGAAATTATAGATATCACCTCGTAAAAGTTCAGTGCGCCTCTCTTATCTGAACTACGACCAAACGGGCCAAATTCGGCTTTTACCTATTTGTCGGATCAGTATAAAATGATGGGCCCTAATAATACTAGTAATTTACTTGTACTCCTTGTCATCACGGCATGGCGCATTCTCTGGTTGCGTCGAGGTGTGGAGAATAGCTGTGAAAATATTAATAAGTAACAACCGAACACCCGATTAGGAAAGATCCTACGGCTTGAAGGTTGAGAATAAGGCTACCAACCCACCGAAAAAAAAATGTGCATACTTCGAAATATTTCATAGGGTCTTGAAATTGGATCACTAGTTGGTCGAGGCACTATGCTACAAGTCCCGATGAGGTCATTGGATTTTTTTCCAATTGACCTAATCCTTCCAGCCGCACTATGATCCTGGGGTTTACTCAGCATATAACAGAAATGAGTACCAGGAATGTTCTTGGGGGTAAAGAGCGGGCGGCGCGTAGGGCTGAGAACCTTTCCGCCATCTGTGAGCCGATTGTCTAGAAAATGTGAGAACCTCTACATATCACAACCCTATGGGCCTCCACGGCCTGTTACAGGGATACCTTTACTTTACTTACTTTCACTTTCTTGAACTCGGATTCTGTGGAAAACCTAATCAAAGGAATATATAAGATTTGAGGTTTCCATGATGGTGACTATGAAGAATGTCGTCCTCTGGGATGTGGTGCCGCGTAGATACTATGTAAACCGACGTTTCGGAGGAACATGTCGCCTCCATCTTCTGGGTATAAAAAATCCGCGGATGAGGAACCAGCGTGAGGAGGTGGCTGCAGTCACGTTGTCCCCGTACTCAGTGCAACACCTCGCCATGAAGACGTAGCTCGAAGCATTCCTCACCTCTGCACCAGATGAGGGTGAATGGTCCATCTCATTTCCTGACCGCCTGACGTCCTTATCCTATGGATAAGAGACTGGGTGGGCCTCAGAGCCGGCCTGGACACTATAAAGGCTCTGTCCCTGCCTGGAATCGAACCCCAGTCCGTAGCACAGTCTTTATACTGTCCGAGCTATCTCGGCTCCATAATAATGAACATAAGCTAAATTATGTTCATTTATCATAATAATAATTTTATCACTGTTTGGCTTATTATAATGTAAACAGAAATGCTGCTTATAATTCAATATAACCTGCAGAGGGATAACTACGGAGAGTACTCTCTTCTCGAATGTGACTTCGTTCAGTCCGGTACAAGTTCACTGATGTTTCGGAAAAATGTACTGCCTCCATCTTCAGGGTCAAGAGTAAGCCAGTTAAGCCGAGTCTCTGCTTCTTGCTTGTTTCTCATTTAATTTACTCGTCAACCCTCAAGGCTCAGGCAGTACTTTCCTCCGAAACGTCAATTAACTTCTCCTGCACTACACGGCGTCACGTGCGAGAAGGCTTCACTCTTCACAGGCAGCCCTATGAGAACTTCAAATCCAACCTGCAAATGAACATGTCTCTGACGCGTGATTAAAACAATTTTACGTCAATTATTTTAGAACATTTATGATCTCTAACTGATATAATTAAATTAGCTCATCTAACTTCCTGGAGCTGAGCCCTTCTTGAGAAGCCGCTTATTGTGCAGCTACTCAAGAAATTCTCAGCATTATATGGAACCCGAAGGTTCATTACCGTGTTCACAACAGCCCTCCACTGGTAACTATTCTGAGTCAGATGGATCCAGTCCATACCACACCACCCTACCTCCCTAACATCAATTTATCTACTAATTCGAGAGACAGAGGAAAGACTTCAATTCCTGTAAGTCATCTTATCACGAAGTGTGCAATGCGAAATACTCACACTCCTACTTTTCAACATTACGCAAATCACTGTAAAACTCTTCATTTCGTTGGCAACACTGAACCGGCGTGTTTCTCTTAACTTTGTTCTAGATCCCACTGTTGGTCCGATTGCCCCCGGCAATTCTTTTTCAGAGCGAATACTGTTTACCAAAGGTATGAGATTTCATTCTTCTAAGCTTCATGTATGCTGATCCCAGTGGCCGCGCAATCTAAGGCATGAACTGTCTTCGCCCGCTCCAACGCTGGGGTCGTGGGTTCAAATCCCACTCGAGGCATCGATGTCTTGTATGTTTATTCTGTGTTTGTGTTGTCCTATGTGTAGGTAGAGGTCTCGCGACGGGCTGATCCCCGTCCGAGAAGCCCTGCCGACTGTGTAAAAACGATTATGAAATTGAAAGAGCGGCCAGGACCCAACAAAGGGCTGTGTAGAGTCATTGATGAATGAATGAAGCATGATATAGTCATTTTGTTCTACTGATAATATCATGAAGCCGCGTGGTCTAAGGCATGAAACGTCTCCGTCCGCTCAAACACTGGGATTATGGGTTCGAATCCCACTCGAGGCATGGATATTTGTCTGCCTTTGTGCTGTGTATGTGTCGTCCTGTGTAAATAGTGCCCTTGCCATGGGCTCATCCCCCGTCCAAGGAGTCCCACTGACTGTGTACAAGATTAAGAAATTGAAAGAAGCCGTCATGGCCCAAACTGGGTTGTAAAGCCTGTAGTAGTTGCCATAATGGTAGTAGACAGTGTCATGATCATTATGAACGAATTAGTAAAAGAGGTGTACCGAAATTTAACTTTCTGAAGGCTTTAAATATTAATTATTGTTGACACGAGTACTTCAGCGTGAATTAAAAAATTTATTGATTGATCATTACTTTAATAAAGTAACCGAAATTTTGCGGCTAGAGGGTGTCGCGTGGCCAGCGCAACGAATCACCACGGCAGTTAATTTCGGTTTTTTAGACCGGAACCGCTATTTCCTTGAAATAGCTCCTCAATTATGATCACGAGACTGAATGGACCCCGTTCCAGACCCACTACTTCTCAGAAAACCTGGTAGCGCCGGGAATCGTACCCGGAACCTTTGGATCTGTAGCCAGGAACTCTGACCACTAGACCACAGAGGCGGTCAGCTTTCTCCTCTAAAGGTTAATAAATCTATCACTTCCAAGCATGAGTAATATTGCTTCTTCGCGTTTATTAAGAAAACTTGTATTAAAATGAATTTATTTGGGTGTGAATAAAAATTGCCAATAAGAATATTATGTCTCTGGACATTATTCTTTGTCATGATTTCATTTAAAACACAGCGTTTCGGAGTCCGGATTCTGCCTTCGTCTTCAGGTAAAACCTACTCAGTTAGGCCCAATCGATATAGCTACTTCATATCTCCGGACGCCAGCAACAGCACAAGATAGTGTGGAAAACATAATTATAGATAATATCCATACCTAATATTTATATTAATGTACCATCGTCACAAACTTTGAAATCTTAAAAAAGTTGCAGAACTTCAACAATTTACAGGCACGGAATATATACTCGCCGTCATAAAAGGCAAGAAAATGAAAGGCATTATGATGTACTATCGGAAAGTTCTAGGACTTTTATTGTTGTAAGTGCCTCGGTGAAAGACGTTAAGAAGGGATGTCAAAGACACACTTCTGCAAACCTATTGCATCGGCCTGCCACGTGATAACGTGCTGTGAACACATGTTGTTCTTATATGAGAGCTTTTTCTACTTCGTGTTTCGTTTTCCCTGCGATCGATGGCAAAATCGAGCAACGTGTCTGCATCAAGTTTTGGTGAAGCTCGGAAAATCTGCTACCGAAACTCTTTGAAATGCTTCGTGAGGCATCTGGAGAACATTCTTTAAATCGGACAGCGGTCTCTGAATGGCATTCAAGTTTCGAGGCCGCGCGAGTGTCAGTTGAAGATGACGAAGGTTCAGAGCGATCAGGCACCAGCAAAAGGACAGAAAATATTGAGAAAATTGGAGAACTCATCCACGAAGACCGTCGCCGAACAATCCATGAGCTGGCTGAAACCGCTGGGATCACTTATGGAGTTTGCCAGGAAACCTTAACAGAAACATTGAAAATGCGCCGCATTGCTCCTTCATCACGACGATCACAACGCCTCCCTTCCACATGTCCCTGAAAACCACAGTTTGTGACTAACAACAATATGGCTATCATTCCCGATCCTCCCTACTCTCCGGACTTAGCCTCCTGTGATTTCGTTTTGCTTCCCAAATTGAAAATAAAACTGAAGGGGCGACGTTTTGAAACAGTGTCTGACATCCGAAGGGAATTGCAAGTGGTACTCGACAGCGTAGAATTTATGTAGAAGGGTAGAAGCAATTCGAGGTGAATACATTTGCAAAATAAATTAAATACAATCTGCTACAGATACACAACAACGTAGACATTTGTGACCTGCAGAAGAAGTAACCCTAAGTACCAAAATAATGCTGGGTAGTTTAAAACAGTTCGACGCACTAATGACTTCAATTAATTGCAAATGTTTTGATATACGAAGTGGGGTCATAAAACTTCAAACTAAGCAATGCATTCGTCTCTCTCGGCGTGGCCGATGCTCAGATGAGTTAGACGCAATCCATGCACACGGCATCTGGGCAGATACTTACTTACTTACTCATGGAGCTGAGCCCTTCTGGAGGAGCCGCCAATTCTGCAGCTACTCAAAAATTTCCCAGCATTTTATGGAACCCGAAGGTTCATTACCGTGTTTACAAGAGCCCTACACTGGTCCCTATCTTGAGATAGATCAATCCAATCAATACCATCCCATCCTATCTCTCTAAGATCCATTTTAATATTGTCCGCCCATCTACGCCTTGGTCTTCCCAGTGGTCTCTTTCCTTCCGGTTTTCCCACCAATATCCCATACGCATTCCTCGTCTCCCCCATTCGTGCTACATGCCCTGCCCGCCTCATCCTCCTTGACTTGATCATTCTAATTATACTTGGAGAAGAGTACAAATTATGAAGCTCCTCATTATGCAGTTTTCTCCAACCTCCTGTGACTTCATCTCTCTTCGGTCCAAATATTCTCCTCAACACCCTGTTCTCAAACACCCTCAGTCTATGTTCCTCCCTTAATGTCAGAGACCAAGTTTCAGAACCATACAGAACCACAGGCAAAATTATAGTTTTGTACATTCTAATTTTTATGTTTTGAAGGACACATACAGATTTAAATAAAATATTAATTTGTCATTTAAATACACACAACATACAGGTCGACTTGGTTGGCTCTTATTTAATGATTCAGTGGTCAACTGCAGAACCTTGTCTACATCGAATGACTTGGATGATTACTTAGTGTGGTCGAAATGTCAGCTAAACAAAACATGATCTCGTATTGGCGGGAATGTTCAGATTTGAATCTGCCAGTCAATTTATAGAAAGCTAACACAGCGTTGTGAGTTATGCACTGAACATGGGAGATCTCATTTCCCCAGATTCTTTTTGTAATAAAGATATTTGTAACTTATTTTAGTGTACATTTCATTAAACAGTTAACTGACTTTCGAGCCATCCTGCTGAATTTAGAGGAAGAGTCCTTGAAATAAACTAAGATCGTTTACTTTGAAATTTTTATGTACTCGTCTTTCCATTTTATGTGAAGTGTAAACAATGTTGTCAGACAACGGTGAAGAATTTAGAAAAATTATCGTGACCTATTTAAAAGCACTTTGAGGTTTACCGTGTGCCGGAAGATCTAACCGCGCTGATTCTTACTTGAAACCCTTACAATACAAGAACTGCTGCTCATGTCATAGACATCTTGATGTGAGGTTTGGGGTTTTCCCGAAAGAGAAACGCTATCTGAACTGTATTCCGGGAAACTGAGGTGTCCTTATGGCAAAGTGCTTATCGCATCCTGCAAACGTTACAAGCCCAAAAGCAATCATACATTCTCCTGTAAGAGACAAAGTCTATGAGACATTCATTTACACTCCTCATCACAAAATTCAATTCACTGTGGACACTCTCACATTTGTCATGCAACAGAACGTTTGTTCTGGGTCGAGCGAGAGTGGAAAGGAGTAGCTTTACTCCAGTTTGGAGTACATATAGTTTCGTTCAAGTTGTGATGTTTCTCACTTGCATTTTTATGTGCCTGGTTCGGGACATCATATATTCGACGTTTTTCTTAGTTACCTCAGTCCCTCCAGGCAAATGTAGGAATAAACCCTTCAATTAAACCACGTCTTTCCATATCGTTTCTAATTCATAATCCACTATCATGAACTACTCGACGCTGTGTAGCCTGAATTACTCAGAGCGTCGTTAAATAAACCATAAACAAAAATCAATAAATAAATAAATAGGCACATTACTATTTCGACGAGTCGGAATAGCCCAGTAGGTACAGCGACTGCCTATGGGCTGGACGACCGAGGGGTCGGAGTTCGTGTCTCAGTAGGAGGCAGGATTTTTCTGCTCTCCATCTCCAGACCGGTTCCGGGGCCCATTCATCCTCCTATCCAATTGATATTGGGGGCTTTTCCCTGGGGATAAAGCGGCCGGGGACTGAAGCTAATTACTCATTTCCAATTAGTACAGAGGGGCATTCAAGTTCTAAGGTCTCCGATGTTTTTTCTCAGGACTGGGAGCAGATAGACACACGCGGTTTAGTTTAAAATACGTGTGCACTCTTTGTGAATGCGCGACAGAGATGGCAGCACTCTATGACACACAGAACTCTTGTGGTAGCGGCGAGAGTGAGAAGTGTTTTAGATACTTAAAATGGCCACGTTTTCGTTACAAGAACAGCAAGTAATCATTCGTTTTCTCCACTTGCGTGGTGCGACACCCATTGAAATTCATCGCCAGTTGAGTGAGACGTGTGGTGATGGTGTCATGAATGTGAAAAATGTGCGTTCGTGGGTGCGACAGTTCAAAGAAGGCCGAACGTCGTGTGACAACGAACCAAAACAATATCGGCCTCGCACCAGCCGGTCTGACAAGATGGTCGAGCGAGTTGAGAAAGTTGTTTTGGAGGATCGCCGATTGAGTGTGGAAAACATCGCCTCTAAAGTTGGCATTTCCGTGGGATCTGTGCACAAAATCCTGCATGAAGACCTGCGAATGAGGATAGTGTCCTCCAGGTGGTT